CCCCAAAACCCCAAAACCCCAAAACCCCAAAACCCCAAAAAGAAAATATTATACTATTTAAATAGATAAATTAAAATATAGAAACCAATTTACTCATTAATTCAAAAAATAATCAAGAATGCTCGCTCATTAATATCTTAGGTTTTCCAAGGGTTTTCCCTACTTGCTTACTATCTCACTAATACCTCTTTTATTCAATTGAAGAGGAGGCAAGTTATTAATCTCATCTTAATTTTTCTCAAAGTTTTGAGACTCCTTAACAAATTTATTTAGTCCTGAGGACTCATAAGATATTCTTCTGATTTGATTCAGCTTTTCAAACTCCTCATCATCTATATCCTCTTCTTCTGATTCATTTAAGTATCCTTAGTACATGTTGTAATTCTATTTCTCATTTTAGGCCTGAGAATTTTGGCTTTCTGAGGAAGTATTAAACTGTTAGTCCTCATGCTTTTTAGCAAAAGTTATCTAATTTTAGCTAAGGCTAATTGATGGACTCTGAGTTTTATCATTAATGAATTAATGCTGAATCTTTTATTACAATTGGGTTTAATCTACAGAATAAATAAACTTCTAATTGAAGTCCCCATCATTAGACTCATTATCACTTTCTTCATTTTCTTGGTAATTGTGTTTTTCAATAAGTGATTCATCAATATAGCTCATCTTCATAATTTTGCTAGCTCTAATTTCTCTCCATTTCTAAAAAGCTTTTAAAATTGCAAATTGCTAATTATTCTTAAGGCTTATCAGCATAAATCTAATCTATTTCTTAGCTTTATTTTACATTATCACTCTGGCTTTAAGTCTTTCAAAGCTATACTACTTTTATCTAAGAAGTCTAACCCTCAGATTGGGCAAAATAGTATGCAAGATGGCTTGACTTTATCTATAGATTTTTTATCTTTAATCTTGCTAAGAAGTATCCCTCCATCTCATGAAGAACCTCTTCATGTTAATTGTTTAAGAGTTATATATTAGCTAAGTTATAACTTGCTGCTTCAAATTTATTTCTTAGGAGTTTAGAGTTTGATTTTTCCATTTTTAAATTGCACTTTAGGTCAGTTTATTGAACAGAAGTATAATCACTGACTTAAGCTTTTCTTGTTTTTTTACTTAAACTAAGCATTTACTTTTGTATTACTAAAATCCATGCTTGAAGTATTTATGGAAGAAAATGATACTCAACAGTTTTTCTTTCTTTATATCAGTCAATCTTAATGTTTCTACGTTGTATCTCCAATTCAGGAACATTTGATTGAGCTTCTAAAAATTCTAGTAATTAAGATAATGCTCTACTATTTTACAAACACTTCTAGATATCACTGTTTTGATTCTCATTGTGTTAAAAGCTTTTTTAATATTTTATTTCATTATTATATGCTCTAGCGACTCTTTTCTTTCCTCTGCGATCCAATTGTTCTCTTTAATCTTATCGAAGGCTTTTTCCAATAATCTTTACTTAGTCATAACGAGGAAGTCTTCAAGTTTATTCTTAAAAATACAGTTCTTAATAAATCTGACAAATGCCTATTTTTGTTTCTTTTTTTCATATACCAAGGCCTTTTAAATTATTTAATCAAGAACCTTTTTGAGAGTTTCATGAGCCGCACATCTTTTCTTTAGACTAGCAAAACTTTAACGCTTTAATTGCTTATCTTAGATATTGAATAGTAGAGATAGCTTTTTCTATTGCTTTTGCTGCTGCTTTAACTACTATTCCTGATCTTACTTTAAGTACTGTCTTCTTGCTATAAATTTCTCATTATTCATCGGTGATTCAAGAGGTAAAGATTGTAATCCTTCTCCTAATTCATCATCTAGCACCATATTACTTCTTGAAGTCATGATATTCATGTGATTATTGAATGTGTCTTGCTGTTAAAGTGTAATAAAATACTCATTTTCTCTATAAGTTGAAGAAAACGAATCACCATCGAGATGATTTATTGTATTTCCTCCTTAAAGGCCTGATATTACATGAGTTTCAGTTTGCATATATTATTATTACTATCCCTAGTTCCTTGCAGATTTTTCACTCTTCTTAATTTGATTAGGATGATAAGCAACTGGAGGAAGCTCACTTCTATTCACTTGATTTTTCTTCGCAATTAAGCCATCTCTAGTTTTATATGACAGCTTTTTGAAACCATGCTGTTGTATCATTCTATGAGTTGGATATATATTCTCTTGCTGCTGTTGAGAATTTTTCATCAGCTTTAGCTCATTCTCCTTTTTCTTGAGTAATTTCAAACCATTTTCCCCACTACTTGCTCTCATAGACTTGAAATTATCAAACATTTGCTGTATTTATACAAAACTACTCATATTATTTCCACCTGCACTATCATTTGCTTAGGTATTATCATTTGGTCTTGAAAAGCTTAAGTGATTAGTTCTGTCCTACAAAACATGAGGTCTCTAGCTATTAGATTTGTGTTACTCCATATTGCTCATTACGTTTCTTACAAACTTCCATCTATCTTTAAGAATTTTAGGGTTTCTTTAGCTATATGAAGCATCTATAGTAGGTTATTAATTTATTGAAGTCTATTAAGTCACCTATATATAAATTTATGAATCATTCAATTGAATATCGTTTAAGTAATTACCTCGCAGAACTGTTGAAATCTTATTTTTAGTTATACTTATAGTCTATTTACAAGCAGTTTTGCTCCATCGAGTTTGTAAGAAGGTAATCCTACTTGACTTTTATAGAGCGAGTTTTTAAGAGCTCTCTTGACCTGATTATTTAAACCTTTAGGCTGATAACTAATAAGAGGGTTAAATTTATTCAATTGATACCTTTATTCATTTGAGAGAGTATTTGGAATTTACAAGGGATAGGCTTCCTCATCTCTATCTACATTATCACTTTCTATTGAATCATCTCTTAAGTAAGAGATTTTCTTGGGTTTTGGTAAGTTATAGCCACTAGTATCTCTTTACTTTGAATTTGACTGATATGATTAGTAATAGTTTCTTGCTGTGCCTTAACCTAAGGCAAAGCCTAAATCATTAGTCTATAATGTGCTTTCTAGCTGTAAAGTGGTATGATTAGGAGCTGCTGTTGAGTTTTATTGTCTTTTTCTTTGCTTGAGTTGATTGAATCGCTCTCTTGTTGAAAGGATCTTGTCTTTGAGATCTGTTTTTATCTAGGAGAGATTCTAGCTTGTATTGGGGTTATTGAGAGAGCTATCATTTTATATCGAGGTAAATAAATTTGGGCTTGTCGAATTGAGATTAATTTATGAACTAGATGAGCCAAGTGTCCTGTTTGTGTCTTAAGTTACATTTCTGTGAGTATTTTAAAGGAAGAAAGAAGGGGGTCTTAGATTCATTGGAGAGGAGGATAACTTTAATATTGTTGGGGGAATCTGCGCTTAATCATCATACTTCTCTTTCTGCTGCATGCTACTCATTTTTAATTTAAATTCAAATTTAAACAATAATACTTATCGTCTAAATATATAACATTGCAGGGGTTTTGGGGTTTTGGGGTTTTGGGG